TGTGGAATAGCATCTGCAGTGAATGAGACAATTGAGAAAAATAATGTTCAAAAGGCAAAATTGAAATGGAAGAATGAGTCTATGAATAGATTCAACTACTGTGTGGAAGTGTTTTCAAATTTCTTTACTGCTTTTCTGCAGTTATTTGTTGATGATGATGAGCAGCCTCAAATTTTCAGCGATGATCTGAACTTCCAAAGGTTGGAGTCTAGAAGAGATTCATATGGTGTACCACATCAGGAATTTGGATCTGAAATGACCTCAGCATTATCCAATCTGGATTGTAGCTCAAAAAGTTCTAGCATTCGGAGAAATAGGTTAGAGCTGGAAGCTGCTCATAGTCCAGCCAGTGGTATGACAGAGATTAATTTACTTGAGGTTCAATCTTTGAAGAAACATTTTCTGCTAGGCTTGCTAAAGGGTGATCATCCTGAGGCAGCATTTTTACTCCGGCAGCTATTAATTGCTTCTTCTGCTATTTTGAGGTTAAATTTGCGCATTGATAACACTCCCCTGTCATCACACTCGATGCCTATTTTTGTTGGTATTTCACGAGTCTTGTTGGCAGGTTTAGTAGACATGGTTGAGATTCCACAACCTTTTTCTTTATTTTGGTTAGATGGTGTAGTGAAGTACCTGGAAGAATTAGGGAGTCATTTTCCTGTAATAACTCCTACCACAAGCAGAAATATGTACTGCATGCTTATAGGGTTACAATTACGGACAATAGGAAAATGCATATGTTTACAGGGAAAAGGAGCGACTTTGGCATCACACGAGACCGAGTCGAGTACTAAGATGTTCCATGGTGTTACTGAATCATCTGAATCCTCTCTTTCACATGGGTCTTACTGTTTGGATGAATTTAAAGTGAGGTTGAGGATGTCCTTCAAAGCATTCGTAGGGAAATCATCAGAGCTGCATATGTTTTCTGCGCTACAGACTATAGAGAGAGCACTGGTGGGAGTACGGGAAGGCTGTGTAGCAACTTATGGGATAAACAGTGGAGATGCAGCTGGTGGAAAGGTTTCCTCAACTGTTGCGGGTGGTGTTGACTGCTTGGATCTGATTTTAGAATATGCTTCGGGTAAGGTCAAATATATGAAGTTGATTTTGGATATTCATGTTTCGAGTAATATTGCATGCTCATTTCATGTACTTCTATCTGAGTCAGTTTATCCTTATCTGATGAATCAATATTGCATCTTATAGTATTTGATCTGAAAAAGTTTGAAAGAAATACCAGTTCCGCTACTTCCATTGTAATTTGATCATCACTGAGAAGCTTTTCTTTGTTATTCTTATCTTGATTTGGTTTTGCAGGTCGTAAGCGTTTAAATATTGTTAAAAGACACATCCAAAGCTTAGTTGCTGCTCTATTCAACATTATTCTGCACTTGCAGAATCCATTAATCTTCTTTACAAAATCAGTCAGCAATAGGGATGATAATAATCCAGATCCTGGATCAGTCATCCTCATGTGCGTTGAGGTATTGATAAGGGTTTCAGGAAAACATGCTATGTTTCAACTGGATTCCTGGCATATTGCACAATCTCTACACGTACCTGGAGCACTTTTCCAAGATCTCCCTTGTTTGCAACTTTCTGGAGCTTCAATAGGTTATGAAACTCTATTGGATCGGCACTTCTCAATGAACTTATTTGCTGCATGTTGTCGATTATTATACACAGTCCTGAAGCATCACAAGAGGTTTGTTCAGCCTCCGATTTCAGATTGTGTAAATAACCCTTATTGTCATATTTCACAGATGTGGTAATTACACATCCAAATCACAATAATAACTGAGAACTAAAAGAAAGAAGATAGGAGGAGCAGTAAATGTTTGAAATAATCCATCAAAGACAGGCACTCATGAGTTGAGCATGGTCCATGTTGGGAGACATTATCTTGACTGGTTTTTGGAATAATATTATAACACCTTTTTCTTTTTTGTTTCTTGAAAACAGAGGTAAAAGATATTCTCTGTTTATCACACTGATTGCTTTTTGTAATTTCCAGTGAATCAGAGAAGTGCCTTGCCATACTTGAGGAATCTGTTTCCGTCCTTCTTCATTCTTTGGAGCCAGTAGATAATGATTATGTGGTCAGAAAATGCTACTTTTTCTGGAAAGTCCAAGAGGGAATTAAATGTGCTTGTTTTCTACGAAGGATTTATGAAGAGGTGTTGGATGTTGTTTTCAAATTTCAAGTGCACTACCTCTCATTGGCTCTTTATCATTTTATTTATAAGAGGCTATTGTCAAATCTTTAGTAAATTCCTCACTTGGTATGTTCTGCATAATTCTCTTACAGTTAAGGCAGCAGAAAGACATCTTTGGCCGGCACTGTTTCAAGTTCTTATCCACTTACATATGGGTGTATTCAGGCTTTGGTCCCCTTAGAAGGGGCATTAGAAGGTTGCACCTCTTATCTTCCCAATGTATCTTTCATTATTATTAAAGTGTTATGCACGGTATTAAAACTGACTTATGTTCTGTACATAGTTAAGCAGCTACCCTGTGTCAGGAACCAACCGGGAGGCAGGAATTAGGAAGGAATTTTGAAATTCTGTTATTTCTTTTTTGCTTTTATTTCTGTTATGTCCTTCTTATTGCATGGCAGTAGTGGAGCAGTACAATAATACTGAGTACTCTGCTGTCCATTATGGTAGGAAAATATTATCATTGTTACCTGGTTTGGCATTATTCTCAACTATATATAGCTAGAATTTAATCCAGAAGAATGTACGAAAAACCTAAGAATCTTCATTATCACTCTCATGTCTAATGAATCTCTCTTACTCTTCCTTTTCCTCTCTTCTCTCTTCCCACTCTCCCACTAACTAATTCTAGGCTTTATCAGCTGCTCATGAGTCAAGGTCTTGACGCACTGGTGTTCAGTAATCTGAACCATTTTTAATTGGAAAAAATTGCAGGGAAGTCGATGAAGCTCTGAGACCTGGTGTATATGCTTTGATAGATGCTTGCTCAGCAGAGGATCTTCAGTATCTTCATACTGTATTTGGCGGTAACCAGAATATTGACTGGGATTTTGAGCTTTTAGCTACTAATGTAGACTTCTTTTCTTCAGACTAACCTCTCTACTGGTATTATTGTTTTTTGTAGAGGGTCCTTGCCGAAACACTCTGGCAAGTTTGCAACATGACTATAAACTAAATTTCCAGTATGAAGGAAAAGTCTAATTTGCAGTGTGAAGAACTTACTTCCTCACTTCCTCGTGTGATATATTGGTGAGTCATGATTTAGTCCATAACTACTTCCAACATGTTTTATTTCTAATAGGCTGATATGATTCTAAAAATTTCTCAGCGTGTTACTTGCTTTTTGTTGTGTTTTAGTATATTGCTTCAGTTGTTTACGTGAACTAAAAGAGTGAACTATTTTTCCAATTTAGTTTCTCTTTTACTCAATAACAGACTCTCTTCACATACAAGTTAGGTAGATTGGACACATGGAACTTATTACATATTGAAATTTAACTAACAGAAATATGATAATGACAAGAATTCAAACACTAATATCTAATGTTGATATCAAGGGAAATGATGGAATTGAATAGATGTTTCAAAACTCGAGCTAAATATCAAATTCTACTATCCATTTATTATTACTTTCATGTAATCCATTGAACTCAGGTGCCCAAATCTTTAATTCAATTCCTGGCATGTGACTTGGATAATGGCCTAACTACTTGTCCATATATCATAATGAGTATATGAACAAAGTCATGTGAATAATGTCCTCGCTTACTTGTAGAAGGAATACATTTATGAATAAAAGTGAGACGCAAGAAAAGATGCAACACAGAATTCTTTTTTATTCTTGCAACCTTGAAATCGAGTCATGGACCAATATAGTAGATCACCAAATTTGCATCTATTGTAATACAGTTTAATTACATTTATATATTCAAACATGTGCAGATGATTTCTATTGTTAACTAGCTATTATTTCTTTGGAACAGAGCTGCTGTTTGGACCTTGGAGTGCCTGTCGAGCATTGAAGCTAACGTTTTGTTGATTTGTGTACATAGTGCAAGGAACTTGTCCTGGACAAATCTTACCTCTACAGTTACATTGGTACACGAATTCTTTTGCACATTTAATCTGTCTCTTACCAAAATCACTGGAAGACATAACAGGTGAATGTGGACAAGATAAAAACCTAGAGCGATCCCCTGCTATTTTCATACGTATGTTTCAAAGTAATGAATAATCATTTCCCTTGAAGAATAAGCAAGGGTCATGGTGATTGGGGATTATAAAGATCTTCAAGTATAGTTATATCTATCAAAAGTTTTCTGGCTTTAGATAGTTGAAGTATAGTTTATCTTTGCTTTTTTTGTAGAACCAGATTTTGATTCAGATTTTAAACGTCAAAGTGTAATTCATAAATTAATTCTATTACTTTTGTATAGATTTTTTTGTCGTAGACATACTTTTAGATGCAAATTCTCATATACAATAATGTCAGATGTGAACCACTACCTACCACAAGGATTAAAGATCAAGCAACACCAGCGAAAGCAATGTAAGCAATCATGTGACCTCACTAAATTTAATAAAGGTTGCCTAATTTCTTATGATCTTTTTCCATCTTGACACTAAACCACTCCGATAGTCGGCAGGATCTGATTATGCTTGACATTAGGCAGTGAACCCGAGGCTATTTTCCTTTTAAAGCGAAATGGAAAGGTCTGTGGTAGGCATGGAGGTTGGCAAGAATCAGTTTAGCGATCCTCATTAGGTCTAAATCGGATTAAACTAAATATATACATAAAAGAAAATACTTCAATTTATGATTTACATAAAATAATCTGCTCCGAACCAGTTTTGGTATCAAATTGATTTACTTTTCAGTCCGAAGCAATTAATAAACATCTTGAGTCAATTTTTAGTCATCACCTCTGCTATCAATTGGACCACGCAAGAGCTTTCGAACACTAATGATGCTCCATCATTTTCAGTGTAAACATGGCTTTTCCTCCTATATTTTCACTCGCTAAACTTTTCAATTGGTAATAATGAGTGTAGCAACAACTGTCGTTATCCTTGCTCTAATAGATAAGCTTGATGTTCTAACCACCAAGAGCTCAGCTTTCAGGAAGTGGACAAAATCCTTTTGGACAATTCAAAGCTTTATTTATTCCATATTAAAAGCTAAATTAAACAAAAATCATTCTCTCCACCATATTATCAAATCATTTAAATCCAGATATCAAGCCAAGAAAAAACTCAAAACAAAAGAAAACCATATCTCCAAAGAACTTCTAGACAAATAAACAGGCCAATTCAGAAGCCATTCAAATTGCAGACCAAATAGTTACATAGAAATGCACCATCACTGCTACTGTAAAGAATGCAGAAGCGCCTCTCCCTACCCAGTTCTGCTTCTGATAGCAGTGGCCTTGATCCTCCTTGGCATCTCATCTCTCTTCAAGTTTGAGTCGCCGTCTCTTGAAGACGCCGAGGATCAGATGGGTTTGTTGCTACTTCTGGCATCAGCACTGGGGATACTAGTCATCGTGCGCTGCTTGTCATCAAAGGAAAGTCGACCTCCACACTATTATTGTTCTTGTGGGCGTTATCCTCCATGGAAATGTGGTTGCTATAGATAGGTCTTCTCTGCTCTCTTTCTCTCTTTTCTTTCTATGTTATAGCTGGTTTGTTCGTATTAATCTAATCCAATTTATGATCACTTGATGACGTATTCAAAATTTCAAACTACCGAGAATGATCCATTGAAAAAAAGGTAAATCAAGTCCAAACCGTACACCCTCAACTTGTTAATAACTTGATTAACGCCTCCATCTCTCTGATCTCCGTGCAATTTTACAGAGTAACTAAAGCTCTGTTCATGGCTTATGGCAGAAGAGGAAAACTCCATCTTTGACTCATTCACTTTCAGCCCTCTGCCATACCCAGTTCTGCTGATCTCAGCAGTTACATCGATCTTTTTATGCACATGATGGTATTTCAACTGTTGTGAGGAATCCGTGGAGGCTGCCGGGGAGCAAGCAAGTTGGCTTCTTTTTGCCATTCCAGTAGCGTTGATACTCATAGTTTGTTGGCAGCTTTTGTTGTGTTGCTGCTAATTCTGGTGCAGTATCATCGAGCATTTCTGGATGACTAGTTTGCTTGAATTGATAGAGTAATTAACATGTGTTTTCCTTTGATGATATGGTATTGTTTCATGTGATATATATACACACACACACATATGTTTGATGATGGTAAACTTTTTTTTTTTTTTTGGGGAGAGTTTGAAAAGGAGGGTGAAGAGTTTTATCTTGTCATTTGCACCATGGTTGTTAATTTGTTGTATTAATTCACTATCATAATCGATATGCAATGGGGGGTGTATAATTCAAATTCAGATAACTAAATTCTTTCTGAAGGAGACGAAGGATGTATGTAACACACCGACAGGAAAATGAACGACTCTCGAGGCATTTTTGGAAAGAGAAATGGGAAGCTGGATGTTTAGTTAAATTAGAATATCTGAAATCATTGTAATTGGCACCTCCATTGAAAGAAACGAGCGAAGCAGAGTTCATTCATGTTGTGTATCATGAGATGATTAGAATTTTCAGATTTCATAGTATGAGAATTGCTGCAAAATCAGAAGTTCAGATAATCATTACTCTGATTTTTACGTACGGCGACATTCGCGACCTTACCAAAATGTTACATATCAAAAGTTTATAAAATATTAAATTTTAAATAAAATAATCTTTTGGTCAGAAAATTGGTCGAAAAAAAGCAAAAATTTGGCCATAAGCAGTTTTCAACTTATAGCAAAATTATGTAATTTTAGTATTTATAGAACATAAATTATTACTATATAGATATTGTCGCCAGAAATTTGCATATATATATTTTTAAAACTTCAATATCTAAATGTTATGCAAAAAAAGTTTCAAATTAGCTCGAGAAACTTAATTTGGTAGTTGGAGGCCATTCCCTTCTAGAGTTTAATAATTAACTTATATGTAGGTTTACTCTTTATCTTATAATAAAATAAACTTATATATACATATATCTTATAAGATATGCTTTTTTATTGTGAAATAACAAGTTTTAAGCTTTTGTTATTATAGGAGGTTTATGTGGGAATACCCCATATATATATATATATGTATATATATATATAATTATATGCAACACTTGAACTTTCAATATCACTCTCTCTCGCTTTACCTTGCGATTAGGTAAAAATGTCTGCCGAATCTCAAGTTCCATCATCTGCCTCCGCCGCCGACGAGCCAGAACAGCAAGGTGATGGAGAATCCTCCAAGGCACTTAGTAAAAAGGCATCTAAGAAGGAAGCCGCCAAGCAAGAGAAGCTGCGACGTCGCCAGGAGGCTGCTGCAACCTCAGCAGCTCTTGCAACTTTAACGACGCAGGAAGACCCGCATGCAACCAATTACGGTGATGTGACCATCGCGGACTTGCCGGCAGTGGAGGATCCCTCTGGTGATAACTGGAAAAAATCAGTGGCTAGTAAACAGCGAACAAAAGTAGGGGAATTGGCGGAGGAGCTCGAGGAGAAAGAGGTAAGGGTACAGGGGAGGGTCCATTCCACGCGTGCCCTAGGCAAGAATATTGCTTTCTTGGTGGTGAGGGAGGCAGGATTCACTGTCCAGTGCGTGGCTACTAAATCTGACGAGAACAATGTTAGTGGCCAGATGGTCAATTTCGTCAAGGGTTTGAGTCGTGAATCTATTGTGGATGTCGTTGGTGTTGTCTCCATTCCTAAGGATCCCCTCAAGAGCACTACTCAGCAGGTGATCTGTCTTTCTCTTTCTCCTCATTTTTAACCTTTTAGAACTGGGTTTGTTTTGATTTTCCCAATCTATGAACCCTATACCAAAAGGATAATGACTATCTTTTCGGAATTTTTTGGAAAAAATGTCTAAATGTTAGCAGGTTGAAATTCAATCGAAAAAGATATAACGATTATCTTTTCAGAATTTTTAAGGAAAAATGTGTAAATGTTAGCAGGTTGAGATTCAACTGAGGAAGATATATTGTGTCAGCAAAGCTTTGCCAACACTACCCATGAACATTGAGGATGCTGCAAGAAGTGAAGTTGAGATTGAAAAGGCTTTGCAGGTATATATATTCATTGATAAGATTTAAGCACTGTCACATTGTGTCGTTCTCTCAACTGTTTATCATTTCAGCAAATTGGGTAATGTCCCTCAAATTTCAAAAAGTAAAGCTATGGAGAAAACTCAATCAAGTTTTTTGCTATCTTATTTTCTAACGTGTATGTATTGATTGTATAATACTGCAGTCTGGGGAGCAGCTTGTTCGTGTTAACCAGGACACACGATTGAACAACAGAGTTCTTGACTTTCGAACTCCGGCAAATCAAGGGATCTTTCGCATTCAATGTCAAGTTGGAAGTGTATGTTCTTCATATTATAGATAAGTCCCTTTTGTTCATATCCATGGATGTGGTAATTTATTTTGTCATCATTAAGGTACAGTGGTTTGAGTTCCTCCGAAGAATTGACTTGTATATGCAAGTTACAATTATGAGATGCAGTTAAAGATATCTTCTTTTTGTTAGCTATTTGTTGATTGCTTTAATATGACTTGAGCTAGCATGTGATGATTTTTTAAAATACTAAATATTGGGTTGAGAATTTGCATCTTTGATGATGTTATGTCATGCAATCATGGTTAACTAATAGTGCATAATGGCCTTCACACATTGTGTAGTATACTTAGCTTTATTAACAAACAACAAGAAGAATTTGATCCTGAGTAATTGTCTACTCACTGTCCTAGTTTATACTTAAACTTGATGCATCATTCTGCAGATATTTAGAGAATTCCTGCTAAAGGAAGGTTTTGTCGAAATCCATACGCCAAAATTGATATCGGGGTCCAGTGAAGGTGGTTCTGCTGTATTTAAATTAGACTACAAAGGACAACCTGCCTGCCTTGCTCAGTCTCCTCAGCTTCATAAGCAAATGTCCATATGTGGTGATTTTGGGCGGGTCTTTGAAATAGGTCCGGTTTTTAGAGCGGAGGACTCTTTTACTCATAGGCATTTATGTGAGTTTACTGGGCTTGATGTCGAAATGGAGATAACTGACCACTATTCCGAGGTAGTATTGCAGTTTTTTATTCTTGATCATCATAATTGAGATCTAGCTAGGCTTTCATACTTACTGAGGAATTTAACTAAACTATGCAGGTAATGGATATTGTGGATCGGTTATTTGTTACAATGTTTGATAAATTGAATGAGAACTGCAAGAAGGAACTTGAAGCTGTGGGAAGGCAATATCCTTTTGAACCTTTGAAGGTCATGATTGCTGTAGTTTATGAAATATTTGAGATGTTTGATGAAGTGTTTAACATTATTATTGGGGTGTTCGTATCCCTGGGAAATTTTCTTATTCAATCTGGATTTTAAGAGGTTTTTTAAGTTTAGTGAGATAAAGATAATTGGGACATGAGTTATGTGTATACATATTCATGAGAATCTATTGCCTTGGAACTGATAGTTGGCTCAATGAACATGCAGTACCTGCCAAAGACATTACGACTCACATTTTGAAGAACGCCTTCAAATGTTGAAAGTGATGGAACTTTATAAACGACAAGAATACTTATCATGTCAAATATGTTTAAATTCTAATGCTGACCAATTGACACAGAGGTAGGAAAATGAATATACTTGGTGAAGAAA